CAAGTTGCGCAGGTGAAAGGCATTCAGCTCCCAGGGTGTCACCTCTTCCATAACAGATATATCTGGCTGGTGTGTTTAAAGAGCAATCAGGATGTCAAAATAATATTTTCTTGCCAAATTGCTTTTTCCATTGCAATTAGCCTTTTATGGACCTTACCAAACAATAACGATGTACCCAATTCCTTCTGTCTCCCTCCGATTATAGCTTTATTGGCAATAAATTGTTCTAGATGAAAACACCACTTCCTTGCCTAGCATAGCTGTGGTGTCCTCTACATCCCCGGCTATCTTTTAACCAGGCAGAGCAGTAAGAAAAGATTGTTTTGTAGAAAAAAGACTGTTTATATGGACTGAAGAAATCTTATTTAACTGAAATCATCCCAGCTGTCTGGGCTCGTCCAGATGCCCAGGAAAAGGAAGTTGTCTAAGGCTTCTTTGCCCTCTGAGGCATTTTGTAGCTGAGTTTGCTGCTTTATTGGGTTTGCAGACAAACAAGCAAGCAAGCAAGCAGGTAGGTAAAATATTGAGGCAAGGTCTCACTGCCACTCTGGCTGGCTGGAACTCATTATGTAAACCAGGTTGGCTTACAGAGATCCACCTGCCTCTTTATCTTGAATGCTGGCATTAAAGACATGTGCCTACACTTGGCCTTTCCAGCCTTTGCAGTCATTAGGGACTGAGTTTGCTGCACGCTAATTGTGGTTTTGGCCTCTTATTAATTTGCTTTTTTTGTTATAAGGGTTCTGACTATGGACTGAAGTGGTGGAAGGAATCTTTAGTCTCCTCTACAGCCAATGGTGCATCCTTAATAAACAAGATTCTGGATAGGTGGGCGAGGCCTTCCTAAATCATAAATGCTCGCTATACTCCACTGTGAGTACTGAACATAATGACTGCCAAGAACAACAGGACCAGGGAAGTTCGAGTAGCTCTGAGTTGTGTTACTCAGAATCCAACATCTGTTGAATGACGATTGGTGTTGTTACAAGTTTCTTCAGTGCTGATATTGGTTTGCACATGAATAGACAAAACCAGGAATTTCTACGTGTGTTTAGTGAAAACAAGAACTACATTGAAATCTTACGAAAAGTCATTGCAGTTTCCCCATTGGAGAGGCAGAATTCTGTATTTTTTTCAAAATTCAGACTAGTTAGCCATGTGACAGCTTGAGCAGGTGGGAATTTGAGGAGGAGTGTGTCCAAGAGTGCTACCTTCTACCATGTGACAACTCAGCCATTGTCACCACCTAAGACCCAGGAAGTTCTTAATAGCTATGGAATCTGCTAGACCCTTGATTGTGGACTACTATAAACTGTGGAAAAGAAACTTGTGTTGGATTATAAGCCATTCAGTCTACAGTGAGTCGTTATAGTATCCTGAAGGGATTAAATATTGGTGAAGCTATCCTATAGCTTTCAGACCAGGCCATCAGCCATTAGCAGCCAAAGTCCTTGGAGGGACCCCAGTTAATGCCATACGGAACTGAAAGATTGTGTACCTGCCCAGCCCAAAGCCCCAGCCTGTAAAACTGGGAGGCATAAGAAAATGACATTTCAAGCTACAGAGTTTGGGACCAGCTTGTCAGGAAGCCACTGATATCTGGGACCTCGGCTTACTCTGGGGTAGACAGGGGATTACTCGGTGAATAGTAGGGTGAATAGTAGACCTGCAACCTGAAACAGTTCACACGATTCTTCTGAGAAGCAAGTACTTGCCAACAATATCGGCACTGAGGGTGTTCCCACGTGCCTTCTTCCTAATGGAACAGCTGACGATGGTCTGAGATTAGAATCCTATACTTTGTTTTGATGGTTGCATCTGAGATCTTCAAGAATCCTAGTTAATAACAGCAAGAATCACAAGTGTAATTCAAAAATTAAAATATGGGTGTGGGGAAATTTTGGGGCCAGGTGAGCTGTGTAGGGGGAGGAGTGGGGAGAAGGAGGTGACTAGAGCAAGAGTAAGGTTGAGATGTGTCCGGACCCCATCTTGAGACTGGCAAGAGTGAGGACCGCCCCATCCCTGTTCTGGGCCTGCATGTCCTGGTGTACATAGCCTATATGACCCCCACCTCTGCCACCCCTTGAGGTGGTCATGAAGCCTGGTGGCCAGGTTTCAGGTTAAAATTTCCTCTCTCTGTGTAAAGTCATGTCCAGCTAGCCCCTGGAATTCCTCTCCATGCAAATGAAACATTCCCAGCCCCTCAGCCCCAGCCAATGATGTACACCCACCCTGAAAACCCCTACCCACTCCCCAAGGTTTATATAGTCCTTATTCTCTCCCAATAAAGATAGCGGTTTCATGGAAAACAGTCTTGGAGAAGGCTGTTTCTCCCACATTCACCACAGACCAAAGTCCAGTGTGACCCACCCAATAGGTTAAGATTTATTCCTTTCAGTCCCACCAGGTGCACAGCAGTGTCTGGAGGACCTGAGCGCAGAAACAGACACAGGCCAGCAAAGGACAGGAGATAGCTCTGTGGTTAAGAGTGCAACTTGTTCTTGCAGAGGACCAGAGTTCGGTTCCCAGGACCCACGTTCTGCATGCTGTGTTCTGTGCCCGAGTTAAACTCTTGGCCATCACTTCCCAGTTTGGGTTTCGCTTGAATCCCAAACTGGTTGTGAGGATTAAAGGAGTTTGTGTTTACATGTAAAGTGCTCAGAACCACACCCAGAGATGGTACCTCAGCAGGGCTACCTGTATATCAGCTGTCAGGGTCTCCCTCTGGCAGCCAATGAATAGCCACTACACAGGGTAGAAAGAGGGAAAAGTTCTGAAGGCACCAAGTAACCACTGCTTCCAAAACTCACGTAGTCGTAATTTCACGTCGTGAACGTCCTGACCTAGTTAGCCCGCTGGGCCCTCAGGGTGGAGACTGCTTGAAAGGTTAATGCCCCAGGTCACGAGGCAATAAACGGATAGCAATCAAGTTGACACTTCTCTTCCTTGACTTTGTGAGGCTAGAAGAGAATACCTGAGACGGTAAGTTACAAAGAACAGAGATTTTATTTCTTACAGCGTTGGACACTGAGAAGTCCACGGTCAAAGCTGAATTAGATAATCCTATTGCCCAGTCATTCCAAGACGGGAGGTAGAAGGAAAGGGAAGAGACGGGCAGGTGGGATGGGGAAGGGATGCCGAGCTCCTTTGATCAGAACCAGTTTCCATGATAACCAACCCACTCTGAGGGCAGAGCTTCAGGTCATAACCACCTCTTAGCAGCGCCCCTCTCAGCACTGTGTTCAGACCCTGGGGGACATGTTCAAACCATGGCATTAGCCAAAGGACCAACGAAACAGACCGTGAAACTCTCCTGATCGGGCTAGAATACCGATTCTTCTTTCCCCTCAGCACCTAGTCACATGGGCAAAACAGAGGACCAGCTTTGAGGATGAGCTTTAGCCAACTGCCCAGATCAGAAGGCAATGGACACCGAAAACACTCTTCCTCCATTTACATGGCTTAAGGTGCTAGGAAAGAAATCTGAAACCGGAGAACTCATGAAGACCACCCCACACTCCCCATGTGAAGGAACAAACAAGACAGTTCATTTTCCTAAAAATATATATTTTTTTTATTATAGACATGTGTGGGCACTTGGGCATGTAACCCCTGCACAAGTGTTGCTCAGAGGAGAACGTGTAAGACTCAGTTCTTCCAATGTGTGGGTTGTAGGACTGAATTCGGGTGGTCAGACTTGGCGGGCACCTTTCCATGCCGGCCGTCTCACCAGCCAGTTTTTAAATCCAAGCATAATTTGCTGTCTACTAAGCAGTAAGTGTCAGGTTTGGAGCTGGATGCTGTCGGCACTAGTTTTTCAAACGCTACTTCATTTGGGGGATCCTTAAATCTTCTACCTCGCTTCCAACCCCCAACCCCAGGAAGGGAAAAAGAAAGTTACAAGGGAAAGGGGATGTAGCCCTCTTTACTTCTTCCTGCTGGGTAGGATCCTAGGATTCTTTTGGGGGCCAGTGTCCACCGTCAGGAAATCCAGAAGTCCAGGCGACCTGCAAACAGCAAAGGCGACACCAGGGCGAACCAGCGGCAAGGGGTCCTCCTCCTGCTCCTCCAAGTGACTGCCTTATTTCTCTGGCTATCATATTACACCCTTCAAAGTCCTCAGATTCAACTGACTCCACCTGGCAGAGCCCTCTCGGAGCCTGCACAGGCAAATAGCCTGCTGCTGTGGACAATCTGAATCAGTCCCATATCCCACACCTGGGAGCAGAACACAACGAACAAAGACTCAAGTTACCGTCCTCTATGAAATGAAGCCTTGGGGAAAAGAGTATTGTACATATGTGTAGGATAGTGATGGCTGTTGGAGCAAACGGGGATCATAGAGTAGGAAGGAACCACAGAGGGTCGCTGTGGGCCCTGGTAGTGTGGAGAGTTAGAAGAGGTTTGAGGTTAAGCGTCTAAAGGAGACGCCAGCTCTGTAGCCAGGCTCCTCCCCACAGGCAGCCTCAAAATGCTCTACTTTCTGTGAGTGTAAATCAGGAGGTTGGGGGACAGTGGGAAGATTCCTTTTTCTGCACAGGAAAGAACATCCTATAGATTGTCTCAGAGGGCGCAAAGGTCTGCTCCAATCCCTTTTCTCCATTAACCAAGCACCTGTGGGTGAGAGAGAGCCTTGGTTCTGTCCTCAGAGAGCTTACCCTCTGGCTCAGCTACTCACAACATCAAGCTCCAAGCGGGTGCAAGGCTTCGCGGATGAACTGGAAAGCCACCCTGCCAGTTCACACCCTACTGGCGAACCAGGAGTCGCCTCAAAACCAGGGGTCCGGGGGAAGGGGGATGGGAGGGATGAAGCATCTGTGGCCCGCACACCACAAGCTCATCCCCATCTCCCTCCCCTGAAGCAGAGGCTCTAGGCAAAGCGTGACCCGGGCGGTTGGTAACCTCCCTGGTGTCCCGGGAAGAGAGGCGGTGTCCGGTCAGCAGCAGCCTCGCGCTCTGCCTTGAGCTCCCTGACCAGCTCCTTTGCGCATCTTGTCAGGATCCCCGGGTCCGGGTTCAGCCACGCCTCTGCCTCCGTCTCCCAGCTTGCGGCCTAGCTGGAGCTCCCAGGGGCAGGACCGAGCAAAGGTCCAGGCCCGCCCTGCTCCTCTCCCTGTGTGTCCCGGGAGCGCGCGCCTGCAAGACCCGAGCGCGTGCAGGACCGAGCGGCGGCGCGCGGGTAAGTGGCAGCGGGCGCCAGCGGCGGGTTCCGCTTGCGTTCCTCCCCTCCTCCGCCAGCTGTGGCGTCCCGGCCCGGGGCAAACCGTCTGCGTCTCCTTGCTCTGGGGGACCTCCTTGCTCCCTCCTGAGGCCGGCGATTGGTATTGTTGCCCCCCCCTTTCTCCCACCCTCCAGCAGGGTGGGAGAAAGCTGCTCCCTCCCACCCAGAGTCCCGTTTCCGCCGGTCTCTATTCCATCCTTGCTCCTTCCCAGCATGCTCGTGACCATTCCTGTGGTCCTGGAATGTGGCAAGTGCAGCTGGTGGCCCCCAGACTTCATCATGCCCCCACCATATTCCATGTATCCATCCTTTGTCTTCTAATCTCTCTCGGCTGTGTGGAAGGATCAAGGCGCGTGCCCGTGCGGGAAGGAAGTCCAGAGACAGGCAGAGGCAGGTGTGAGTCCTCCCTGTTCTGGGGTAACTGATTGAAGCTCCACTCCGCCGAGAGGCCTTTTGCCTCAGCCCAGAGTGGGGGCTTGGGGAGGGCCTTTTCTTGCCTGCACCCCTCAGGGAGAGACCGTGGTCAGCTCCCAGGCTTTGCTGGAGCCTGAACAAAACAGCCAGCCCTCCTCTGGATTGGGCTCGGAGAGAAGTGGAGAAGGATGTACCAGGACAGCTGGACCCAGAAGGCAGGCAAACCCTGGGCAAAGTTGAAGTAGAAGGGAAAGACCTGGGAGGTTGGAGGAACAGCATCTAGATGTACAATAAATGACTCCTCTTCAGCATCCATCACCCGCGAGGGCTTCCTACAAAGGAACGCTTCGGGGAGAAGCTGGACCTGGACCCCCTGATTAGAAAAGTGACACAGACTGCCTGCTCGGGTCCCTGAACTCCAGGCTGCTTTTACCTTAGAAAATTAATTTAAAAAAAATTTTTTTTTTTTTAAAAAGATATCATTTCCCTATGAGGGCCAGGCTGGTCCTGGATTTGTAATTCTCCAGCCTCTGCCTTTCTAGCTCCCAGTAGCCAGCAGTCTACCTTTTTTTCTAACCTCTGCCTCCTAAACGCCCTTGCTGCTTGTTTCAGGCTCACGCCTACCCTCCAACTATCCTTTGTTTCTTGATTTCATATACTATTGTCGAAAAAATACGTTTTTTTTCGAGGCAATGGCTTTGTCGCCACCATAACTGAAGTTGGCCTTCCCAGATACGTCTTTACCAAATGAATCATGAGCAGCTAAATTAAAGAAGAAAACGTTGGCCAGGAGTCAGAAGAGCAGGGTGCTCAGAAGCACCTGCTCTGGAGTCAAGGGGATCATCTCGGCTCAGGACTAATTCTCTTTGTGGACTTCAAGGTCTCCTAGTCCAAGCTACTGGTATTTGGACCTGTTGGTTTTTATTGCTCCTTGCAGCAAGGGGAATGTGGCTTGTCAGTGACTTAGAGGGAGGTCTTTGCTCTGGAAGAGCTGACTCTAAGTGGGGAAACAATTTCAATTGCATCTCTTCCCGAATCCTTGCTAAATGGTCAGGAAGCAGCAGTCAGTCATTGGCCCTACTGGGAGGAGGGTGGTATTGGCTGCTTTGTGCTCTGGAGAACATCTGTGCTTGGTCTGTAGTTGACCGTGATGATAGAGTTGTCTTGTTTTTGCCATGGTTTTTGATACAGTGCCCTCAACTCATGTGGCCACCCTGTGGCCCCATTTGTGTTCAGCCTGGGAATGCAAGTTCAGCTCTAGGCGGCACCAGGCTGGCCCCACATGAGTCTGTTTCTCAAGATCTTGGGAAAATTACTTAACATTTCTGAACTTCCGTTTCCCCATCTGCAATGTGTTGAAAATGTTTGCTTCAGAGCTGTAATGGAGAGTAAATGAGGAAACACATAAAAGCATCCCGAGCGTAGCCTGGCAGAGAGCAGGCAGGCACCCAACATGTGCCGGTCCTGGTCTTTATGTGGTGTATTTGGTGTTGTGGTCTCTTCCGAGGATCTGAGGCTGTTTGTGGCAAGGTCAGAGATGTGAAGAAGCCTATCCTCCCTTTGGGAAGCAGAGACTGGAGGCTGTGGAGTTCAAGGCTGGCCTCAAGCTGTACATATATATGTATACACACACACACACACACACACACACACACACACACACACACATATATATTCCCTCAAAATTCAAAGTCAAGTGTGCCAGTGACTGGACCAGACACACCCATGCAGCAATGATGGTGATCTCTCGTGCAACCATCACCTTAGCTGTTCCTTTTCAGATTCCTTCTTCCCAGAAGTCAGTGGCCCCCACTGACCTTGCTAACTCTGGAGGTTTTCTTGCTTTCTTCTTTTCTGAGGAGTCTGCTGCCGCCTATACCACATTCACACAGACTGCTTATGTTCTAATCTGCTTTGTCTGGGAAACCAGCCAGCCAGCAGGTGAGGAAAAGCTTGTCAGTATAATTCTTAAGCTCTGGGCGAGCATGCAGGAGCTGTTCCAATCATGAAGCTCAGTGGCTTTTTACATGCACAGCTGTCAGGTACTTCCAAGCTGGAGCCTTACGGAAATTTGAATTTAGAACCTGACTTCTGGCTAGTCGAGGCCTACCTGTGTTTCTGGGTATCTGACAAGGCTGGCTCTGGATCCTTATATCAGGTTCTAGACTCAGTGGCTCTCAACCTTCCTGCAACCCTTTAATACAGTTCCTTATGTTGTGCTGACCCCAACCATAAATTTTTTTCGTTGCTACCTCATAACTAATTTGGCTACTGTTATGAATTGAAATGTAAATATCTAATACTTGGGGCGTCTGATATGCAGTTCCCAAAGGGGTTGAGACCCACAGGTTGAGAACCGCTGTTCTAGCGCCTTTGCTCACGTACACCTGGGCATGTCAGGGTTGACTGGTTGGCTAGTCAGTTACCTCAGGTGATGGTGGCAATGTGGTGCCTCCTAGCAGCTGGGGTAAACTTGATTGTGTTAAAGGTCCAGCCTGAATTTTGGCTGATCCCTCTGTTTATAGCAGGTTTCCAGGTACGGCATGACAACACACATCTGTAATTGCAACCTTTGGGAGGCTGAGACAGGAGAATGGTGAACTTGAGGCCAGTCTGAACACATGGAGACCCTCCCTGTCTCAAAACCGTTAAGAACAAACCCAAAACTTCCGTGGCTGGGTGTGGCGGCTCATGCCAGTAATGTCAGCCTGGAGGGGCGCAGGCAGGAGTATTGCTGTGAGTTTGAGGCATGCTCCGAGCTAACTTAGGCTTCGGTGAGAAGCCCTCTTTCACAAGACAAGCAGGCTGGAGAGATGGCTCAGTCCTTAAGAGCGCCTAGTCCTCTTCCAGAAGGCCTGGGTATGCTTCCCAGGCCACACCAGGTTCTTCACAGCTGCCTGCCCGAGGCTCCAGCTCCAGGGAATGAAGGCCTCTGTGGACTCCTGTACTCACATGGCACACACACATACACATCTATACACACACATACACATATACACACATATACACATACACATATACACACTCTCACAAATACATGTCATTTAAAAATAAAATAGTAACCGAGCACGGTGGTGCACGCCTGTAACCCCAGCACTCAGAGAGGCAGAGGCAGGCAGATCTTTGTGAGTTCCAGGCCAGCCTGGTCTACAAAGTGAGTCCAGGACAGCTAAGGCTACACAGAGAAACCCTGTCTCAAAAAACCCATATATATAATTTTTATTTAATATATAATGTATTTAATTTTATTTTATATATTTAATTTAATCATATATTTAATAGCTTTCTATTATATCATATAATATATGATATATAATATATGTTATATAAAGTAAGATTCAATTTCTCACTTAGGAGACTAGCAAAGGCTCTAAAGTTTGAGGCCCACCCTTGTTATACAGATACTGTACATTTTAAGAGACATCTGTAATAGCAGATGCATAGTTACTCAGCCTGAAGAACAGAAGCAGCTCTGGAGTGACAAATGTGCCTATCCCTTGACCAGCTGTCTCTTTCCTAGGCCTCCAGCCTTCAGATCCAGCTGCCCATCGGCGAAGGAATATTTGGGGGTATTTTGTTTGGTTGTTCGTTTCTTGATATGGTTTCACTATAGTCTAGATTGGTCTGGAACTCAGTATTAGCTCAGGCTAGCCTCAAACTCATGACAGTCCTCCCATTTTAGCCTTCAAAGTACAAGGATTGCAGGATTGAGCCACCACACCTGGATGGTGACATTTCTGAAATAGCAGAAATTGAAAAAGTAAATCAAGTGATGAAGTATGTACGACAGGGTCATTAATCAGATACACAAGTGTAGAGGGGTGTGCGGACTTTTAATTTTGTGTTTACGTAAGGAAACACAGATTACAGTGGTAGAAGGGACATAAAGGGCAAATGGGATGGCAGGAATGGAGTTCATGGCGTTTAACACTTTTTGGAGTATAGATTTTGGTGCCATGTGAATTATATCCACACGTAACAGAAAAGGAAGTGCTGGCCTTAGCTTCTGCAGGCGACCATCTTCTTCAAGTCCTGTGATAAGCTAAGCCTGGGTCTAACAGGAACTTCAGAGCAGTAGACTCCCAGTAACCCCCTAAAGCAACGTCCTCAGTCAAGAAGGCATTTGGCCAGGTTTGATGTTAGCTGAAACAACAACAAAAAGTCCCATTAAAAATTGATCTGAGGTGCCCCCTTCTTAGCCCGCTGAGCTCTCTGGAGAGTTGGTGCTGTCTCTGGGGCTGCGCCTTCACAGCAGCTGGGCTCCCTTAGCTTTTTAACCTCCGTAGAGACCCTTTTGATGTGAAGAAGAGTTTGTGATCCCCCATTCAGCTTGTTTCAGAACAGAATCCAGAAAGTATAAAGATATGATCCCAACCCCAAGGGCAAACAGAAACAGACTGTTCCACCATCCAGATGACTTTTCACATGCTGAAGGGGAAGCCCAGTTTTGATCAAAGTTCTTTGTTTTTGACACAACAAATCCTGCACCTTGTCCCTCAGATAGTCCTGGCAGTTGCTGCCCCTAGTCTTCTGAATCCATCTCTTGGTATCTGGCCAAGCCATTTCGTTACCCACCACCTGCCCAGACTGTCTGGAGGACCTTCTGGGGGCTCTCCCAGCTTGCATCATCACTGGTCACTCAGCCAGAGATCTGGTGGATCCACAAAACCTGTATCTTTCCCCCTTAGGATGCTGACACCGCTTAGAGCATAATAGGTCCTCATCCATTTCTAGCCTGTTTCTCTCCTTCCTGCTTCCTGCTTACACTCATGTATGTGTGTGTGTGTGCGCGCACACACGCACACAGCTGTGGAAATGAGAAGAAAATCTGCCGGTGTCGGTTCCCTCCTTCCTCTATATGGGTCTTGGGATGGAATGCAGGACATCAGACTTGGCAGCAAGTGCCGTTACCTTCTCCTCCCTCACTTTGCTCTTCAGAAAATCTAAGTGACTATGCTCCTCACCTTTGCTCTCTAGTCACACCCTTCCACAGATCTTGCTCATCAGGGTGCATGACCTTCCGACTCTCTCCCAGGGGCCCTCCCAGCCTGTTCCTGTCATTTCTCTGTTCTGGAACCCTGTGCTGCAATACTCAAATCAATCCCAAAGCTTGCCCAGGATTGTAAGTCTGTCAGTGAGGTGGTGGCCGAGCGCAGCGTAGACACCAGAAGCTTGGGGTTAGCCCACCCTGCCTTCCTGGTCTCCCCTTCACCCTGGCCCCCTGCTTCTGCAAATGCCCCTCTGCCATGACAGCCCTCGCTGATTTCTCTCCCCTTGGCTGCAAAATGCAGCCTGGATGCCATAGACTTCACTAGCAGGAGGGGGGCCCCTGGCTTCTCTCTGCTGGGATGGATAGGAGTTTTTGTTGTTCATTCTCCATCAAGATCTGCCAATAGCTACTGTAAAACTGTGTGTATGAGAGAGAGACAGAGACAGAGATATATATAGAGAGACAAAGACAGAATGTTTCACTCCCTGGCCTACCGGTCTAGAACTCACAACTATCTTCCTGGCTTACTTGCATGAGCCGCCAAGCCCAGCATAAAGCTAGTGGTTCTTTAAGAGCTTCAACCCAGAGCCTACTGTGTACGTGAGAATCCTTAATGGACGACTCAATTGTCAGCTTGATGAATGGGTAAAGGACCCATCCATGGAGGCAAGATCCTTAGTGTTTGCAGCCCATCCCAAAGAAAGGAACTTTGCTGTTCCTTGAATGTTTATTTTTCCTCTGAATATCCAAGGACAGGTTGAGGCAGCTCCTGCCTCGTAGTAACCGAGGAAAATGTACTTTGGACACATAGGGAAGGCAGATGTTTCTGAAACCCCGGAGAAGATGAGTCCAGCAGGGTGAAGTCCGAGACTGTCCCAGCTCCCAAACTCCAGCAGTGCTGTGTGAGCACGTGACTGGCCAAGTTCCAGGGCAAAAATGCAAACGCTAGCTCTTGTCCACTAGACAGTTTTACTCATAGTCTTAAAATGCCATTCCAGCCAGGCATGGTGGCACAGAATTATAATCTCAATACTGGGGGGGGGGGGGGGGGGGGGGGGGGGGGAGGGGGTACCCCTCGGGAATTACCCTCCTCCCTTTTGGTAAAGCAAAACAAACAACCCACGACAA